TCAAGTCCACATAGAGAGTCCTGATCAAGAGTCCACATAGAGAGTCCAGATCAAGTCCACATAGAGTCCAGATCAAGTCCACATAGAGAGTCCAGATCAAGTCCACATAGAGAGTCCAGATCAAGTCCACATAGAGAGTCCAGATCAAGTCCACATAGAGAGTCCAGATCAAGTCCACATAGAGAGTCCAGATCAAGTCCACATGAGAGTCCAGATCAAGTCCACATGAGAGTCCTGATTAAGAGTCCACATGAGAGTCCAGATCAAGTCCACATGAGAGTCCAGATCAAGTCCACATGAGAGTCCTGATTAAGAGTCCACAGAGAGTCCAGATCAAGTCCACATAGAGAGTCCAGATCAAGTCCACATGAGAGTCCTGATTAAGAGCCCACATAGCAATACCACATGGATGGCCAAGATCTAAAGCCCACATTGAGAATCCACAATTAGAGTCCACAATTAGAGTCCAAACCAAGAGCCAACATGGAGAGTCCAGATTAAGAATCCATGTAGCAAGTCCAGATCAACAGCCCATATAGAGAGCCCACAAGGAGAGCGGGCTATATGGACTCTCCATGTGGCCTGTTGAGGTAGGCTCTATACACAGAGCAGTTGGTACTATATGGACTCTCCATGTGGCCTGTCGTATTAGGCTCTATACACAGAGTTGTTGGTACTATACGGACTCTCCATGTGGCCTGTTGAGGTAAGCTCTATACACAGAGCTGTTGGTACTATATGGATTCTCCATGTGGCCTGTTGAGGTAGACTCTATACACAGAGTTGTTGGTACTATATGGACTCTCCATGTGGCCTGTTGAGGTAGGCTCTATACACAGAGCTGTTGGTACTATACAGACTCTCCATGTGGCATGTTGAGGTAGGCTCTATTCACAGAGTTGTTGGTACTATATGGACTCTCCATGTGGCCTGTTGAGGTAGGCTCTATACACAGAGTTGTTGGTACTATATGGACTCTCCATGTGGCCTGTTGAGGTAGGCTCTATACACAATGGTGTTGGTACTATATGGACTCTCCATGTGGCCTGTTGAGGTAGGCTCTATACACAGAGTTGTTGGTACTATATGGACTCTCCATGTGGCCTGTTGAGGTAGGCTCTATACACAGAGCTGTTGGTACTATACGGACTCTCCATGTGGCCTGTTGAGGTAGGCTCTATACACAGAGTTGTTGGTACTATATGGACTCTCCATGTGGCCTGTTGAGATAGGCTCTATACACAATGGTGTTGGTACTATATGGACTCTCCATGTGGCCTGTTGAGGTAGGCTCTATACAATGTTGTTGGTACTATATGGACTCTCCATGTGGCCTGTTGAGGTAGGCTCTATACACAGAGCTGTTGGTACTATACGGACTCTCCATGTGGCCTGTTGAGGTAGGCTCTATACACAGAGTTGGTGGTACTATATGGACTCTCCATGTGGCCTGTTGAGGTAGGCTCTATACACAATGGTGTTGGTACTATATGGACTCTCCATGTGGCCTGTTGAGGTAGGCTCTATACACAGAGTTGTTGGTACTATACGGACTCTCCATGTGGCCTGTTGAGGTAGGCTCTATACACAGAGCTGTTGGTATTTTTATGGACTCTCCATGTGGCCTGTTGAGGTAGGCTCTATACACAGAGTTGTTGGTACTATAGGGACTCTCTATGTGGCCTGTTGAGGTAGGCTCTATACACAGAGTTGTTGATACTATATGGACTCTCCATATGGCCTGTTGAGGTAGGCTCTATACACAGAGTTGTTGGTACTATATGGACTCTCCATGTGGCCTGTTGAGGTAGGCTCTATACACAATGGTGTTGGTACTATATGGAATCTCCATGTGGCCTGTTGAGGTAGGCTCTATACACAATGGTGTTGGTACTATATGGATTCTCCATGTGGCCTGTCGAGGTAGGCTCTAAACACAATCGTGTTGGTACTATATGGACTCTCCATATGGCCTGTCGTATTAGGCTCTATACACAGAGTTGTTGGTACTATATGGACTCTCCATGTGGCCTGTTGAGGTAGGCTCTATACACAGAGTTGTTGGTACTATATGGACTCTCCATGTGGCCTGTGGAGGTAGGCTCTATACACAGAGCTGTTGGTACTATACGGACTTTCCAAGTGGCCTGTTGAGGTAGGCTCTATACACAGAGTTGTTGGTACTATATGGACTCTCCATGTGGCCTGTTGAGGTAGGCTCTATACACAGAGTTGTTGGTACTATATGGACTCTCTATGTGGCCTGTTGAGGTAGGCTCTATACACAGAGTTGTTGATTTTATATGGACTCTCCATCTGGCCCGTTGAGGTAGGCTCTATACACAGAGTTGTTGGTACTATATGGACTCTCCATGTGGCCTGTTGAGGTAAGCTCTATACAGAATGGTGTTGGTACTATATGGACTCTCCATGTGGCCTGTTGAGGTAGGCTCTAAACACAATGGTGTTGGTACTATATGGACTCTCCATGTGGCCTGTCGTATTAGGCTCTATACACAGAGTTGTTGGTACTATATGGACTCTCCATGTGGCCTGTTGAGGTAGGCTCTATACACAATGTTGTTGGTACTATATAGACTCTCCATGTGGCCTGTTGAGGTAGGCTCTATACACAGAGTTGTTGGTACTTTATGGACTCTCCATGTGGCCTGTTGAGGTAAGCTCTATACACAGAGTTGTTGGTACTATATGGACTCTCTATGTGGCCTGTTGAGGTAGGCTCTATACACAGAGTTGTTGGTACTATATGGACTCTCCATGTGGCCTGTGGAGGTCGGCTCTATACACGGGGTTTTTGATACTATATGGACTCTCCATGTGGCCTGTTGAGATACGCTCTATACAATGTTGTTGGTACTATACGGACTGTCGATGTGGCCTGTTGAGGTAGGCTCTATACACAATGGTGTTGGTACTATATGGACTCTCCATGTGGCCTGTTGAGGTAGGCTCTATACACAATGGTGTTGGTACTATATGGACTCTCCATGTGGCCTGTTGAGGTAGGCTCTATACACAATGGTGTTGGTACTATATGGACTCTCCATGTGGCCTGTTGAGGTAGGCTCTATACACAATGGTGTTTGTTCTATATGGACTCTCCATGTGGCCTGTTGAGGTAGGCTCTATACACAGAGCTGTTGGTACTATATGGACTTTCCATGTGGCCTATTGAGGTAGGCTCTATACACAGAGTTGTTGGTACTATATGGACTCTCCATGTGGCCTGTTGAGGTAAGCTCTATACACAGAGCTGTTGGTACTATATGGACTCTCCATGTGACCTGTTGAGGTAGGCTCTATACAATGTTGGTGGTTCTATATGGACTCTCCATGTGGCCTGTTGAGGTAGGCTCTATACACAATGTTGTTGGTTCTATATAGACTCTCCATGTGACCTGTTGAGGTAGGCTCTATACAATGTTGGTGGTTCTATATGGACTCTCCATGTGGCCTGTTGAGGTAGGCTCTATACAATGTTGTTGGTTCTATATAGACTTTCAATAAGACCCCCAGATGGGCTGTGATGATGTCATTGTGTGGTGCATCGTGGATAGATCCTACTGTTAATCCCGGTACATCATGGCTGTCATTAAATATAGTAAACAAGCCGTCAGTGAGAGATTATACTCATGGACAAATGAAAGGGAACAGATACATTGATTCTGAGTGTCTTGTACTTCAGTATCCGACCTGTCAACACATGCATTTCAGCTCAACTTGTTCAGCCTGCATCAGTCATATTTTGATCATTCACTTATTGACCATAGTTCCACTTTTCCTTTTCTCTCCTCTGTGTGTTGACCTTTTTAACAAAGAGACGTGTCAGTAGGAAAGAAATCTCATCCAGCTGTTATAAATTTGTAGTTTTCAATATATGCTTCAATTATTAACTATTACCGATTCGATGACTGTTAGTGAGTGATTAATGATCATCATGTTTGGATTATTGATAACGGATCTGTCAAATGTGAAATGGGCTGAAGAGGCAGTTTACTTCTGAAAAACAGAGATTGTGCAAGAAAGCACTGGAAATAAATTTGATTGTGTGATAGATTTCCTGACATTAATGACTTCTCCGTCCCCTCCATTTATTCCCTAGTATTCCTGTAATAACAAAATATTGTAAGAGGCTCAATTTTATATGATTGTATTGAAAGCAATGTTAAAAGGCAATGTTCAAATGCCCCTAAAAAAGAGAGCTTTAAAAATCCCATTATTGAACACATTTACATTTCTCCCAATTTACCTGCCATTGGAAGTTAGTTTCGAATCAAAGATAAATTCCTGACAATTCCATTGTCCATTAATGCAGTTGCAATGGTGTTCTCTCACGAGTCAGAATAGGCGCCCAGCAACCATGCTTTTGTATGAGGTGGCGAAATGGACCAGGTGAACAGAATGAGTGACATGCAGTTGTTCATAACATTGACCACTGGTTTGTGTAGCCCAGGCTCCATTACATAACGGCTGTTATCAATCAGCTTAAATGTTGCACGTGATCACCCAAAACATGTTAAACAACATCAACAAACAGTTAAACAGTCCTCATGAAGAGTCCATGTTGCAATGTCCACATAAAGAGTCCAGGTCAAAAGCCTACATGGATAGTCAAGGTCAAAAGCCTACACGGATAGTCCAAGTCAAAAGCCTACATGGATAGTCCACATCAGTTCGGTGGTCACTTGCATAATATTGTACCCTGATGATGTGGGTAGCTGCTTGTCCTGTCAATCACTGGTTTGTGTGGTCTAGAACTGGTGATGTGTATGTCAGTCCCACCATTTCAATACTACTGTGCTGGTCAAAATGCAGCTATGGTCAGTACACCTACAAGGCTTGTGTTATGTGACAGTTAATGCAGTAATAACACTCACATCTTTAAGAGTTCATCTTAAAGAGAATCTTCGTCTGAAAATACTTATTTTAAACTGTATAGAAGTCTAGCTCGACCTATTCACGCAAAGGCTGTATTATTGATGGCCTCTCCATCAGCAGCTGTGTTACTGGGGCAGCAGAGTTGTGGCGGTATAGATCTGTTGGATGTAGGTGAATCAATAGCACCTCTATACACAGAGCTGGCCAGTCTATTTTGAGTGGTCCAGGATTTAACATGGAAATCACCACAAACAGGTTCCTGTGTTCAAGTGAATTTTTATTACGACTGAATTAAACGAGGCTGTCATGCATTTAGACATGGTTTTTACAATGTTGTTGGTACTCACAAGGCATCTCAAGTTGTTAATCATGGGATTTATATGGAAAAAGTTGCAAGGATATCAGAAAAAGTAGTGAAAGTACATGTATGCTCTTTTAATCATGAAAACTTGAGTTAAATATCGCTGGTGAGACATTAAGAACTGGTCCCTGAGCGCTGGTGGTGACTGTGATGGTGTAGTGAGATATTCCTGACAAAGCTCGTTATCTTAGGGGTAGTTATTGATGATGGTGTAGTGAGATATGACTGTCTGGATGTTCCTGACAAAGCTCGTTATCTTAGTGGAAGTTATTGATGATGGTGTAGATGAAGATGGTGATGAAGAGACTATGTCAGGTCTTCAGTTTATTGGAAAAAAACAAATCATGAATTAAAATAGTGAAAAGACTTATGTGATAGGATGACCATATGTAAAACGTGACAGCAACATGGTTTGGTGGTCACTGCATCAACCTCTGGTTTGTTGGGATGAGTGAGTGAGTTTAGTTTTACCCCTCTTTTAGCAATATTCCAGCAATATCATGACGAGAACACCAGAAATGGGCTTCACACATTGTACCACTGTGGGGAATCGAACCCGTGTCTTTGGCGTGGCGAGCAAACGCTTTAACCACTAGGCTACCCCACTGCCCTTTGTTGGGATGACAAGATGTGGGTACATGTATCTGAACATACCTGGAAGCATGGATGTCATTGTACCCTCGGCACATGTGAGTGTACCAAGGAAATTAAAATGACCTAGATAATGCACTCACTCATGATACCATGTGGGATCTATAAAAATACTTCACAAATTACCCTCTCCATACAAACGTATTTGTATTTATGTTCTAGTATTGAAATATGTTTTGATTAGTTTTCTTGCTATTTGCAGACACATTATAGATTTTCAAGATTTCTAATCATGCTAATTTAATAGTGGTTTGGATTGTAGGATACTTGTCCAGGACCCGTTGACGTCATCAGCCTTCGTTGCATGTGTTGATCTGATTAATTAGTCTGTAACGGTTCCTGATAATGAGTTTGGTTAACCATTACTTGTCTATTTCCAGGAATGCAGTAAGAGGTTCCCAATTCAGACACTACCAGGCGGAGATAATGGTGAGTTTCCATGGTTACAAGATGTTTATTGTGGAAATTGCAATTAGATTCATAAAACAGTAACAGAATTCAGAGCAAAAAATGTTCCTGATTTCAGGAACTACAGGAATGAATTATCTGGCCGCAGTTTTCTAATAAACTACAAGGTGCCTTGAAAAAAAACGTTGTGGGTGAAAAAGAATTGTTCAGCTCTTTTTTGAAGAAATTGATTAAAAATGAATTTTGTTTCTTGCCATGCTCCCAGTCCATCCCCAAGAATAGGAAATGTAAGGGGGTCTGAAGGGTCAGTCTCCATATTTTACCTACATACGATTTGTTGTCATGTAAGCGGCTATCACGGTGCCCACTTCAAGCTGTATCAATACTACCAGGATTAAAGAAACCAGTACCTGATATACTACTCAGAAAAAATTAAGGAACCCCCTGTTTGTCTTTACATAGCAGCTAATCTGTCTTGCCATCACAGATATACTATATTCATATGAAAACATGGTCAATAACGTTTCGAGCTGTATATGTAATTGAAGCAGACGGCATATATTCATGGTATATATGTTTTATTGACCATCAGAGTTATTTAAATCATTCGGTGTCAGTATGACTGTTCCATGTCCAGATTTCTGTGTTCGGAAGATGAAGAAAGTCCTTCCTCGTAATGTAATCTGTGGCTAGGTTTTCATGACGTTCTGAATTAAACTTTTTGTTGAAATCATGATTAAATTAGGGTCACGAGGCTTCAGAACACTTCACACCAGAAATATGAAAAAGTCTTAATTGCCCAAGAGATATATTTTGTTCACATCAGATTTGACTGCTGTGGAAAGAAATCCTGAAAGAAATGTATCATCCTCACATGAATACATACGTATACATGCTCTGACAGTCTGTACTGATGGCTTTTGCTCCATCCTACTGTGGCCTCAGATAGTTTGATCTAATTTAATCAATTTAACGATAGTCTCTTGGTAGCACTTTGATGAACACATGGAAATAGGATGAGGTAGCGCATGTGTTTCTTTGTTGGTCCACAGAATATATGGCCAAGATATATTTCAACTTGTCCCTTTGGGTATTCCACGTAAGACATTCCCAGAATACCAATGTTTGGCAGAGTCGGGGCAATCTGACTTTGTTGGAAAACAGCTCTGTGATGAATAATATCTGTCATTTCACCTTGACCTTGTCGGTGTTGTGGGTACTTTGCTTTGTCCGTCTGTCCACACAGAAATTTGGATATTTTACCAAATTTACTGAACGTATCAAAATCGTTTTTCCACAACATTTCAGCATCTCCATTTTTCTTATCACAAACTTCTCACAGAATAAGTCCCACCATCTCTGTTAGGGAGCTTTTTGAACTGAGCTCAACGTGAAAGTATGCTAGTGAGCAGTAGTGACATACAGCAATACTGTACCGGGAAACGAAGCTCATTATACAGCAATACTGTACCGGGAAACGAAGCTCATTATACAGCAATACTGTATCGGGATACAAAGCTCATTATACAGCAATTTACAAGTCCTGTCTTGCAATACATAAAATGCATTACATTAGGCCAGACCAACTTTATTTCTTGTCTTACAGATTTTTGTCCACAGAAAACCTAAAGGCAGGATGTAAAACATGTGAAAAATAACAGAAAATATTCAAGAACCAGTTTTTGCAGTCTCTAGCATTTTCAGATTGACTACAAATAGCAGAATCTTCATAGTGTCTCCATGCTTATATGTTTTTGCCCTTCTAACCCCATCTTCGCTGTCTGAAACTTAAAAGCAAATGACTCAGGGTTGTTATTTACTTGCAGAAAGGGAAAGAATCTGAACATCTGAAATGAAAGTACTGTACTGAGTAGTATCGCCCCCTATCATCAGGATATGTATTATGTAAAGGATCGAAACTGACTCTGAGAAAAATAAGTCCGCGGCAGAGGGAAATTGGGGAGGGTTGACAGGCCGATAGGCCCGACCCGATTTCCGGAGGCCAAGGGCTTACTTTTTCAAACAAACCCGAGGAGGGGTTTTCGATCCAACTTATGAACCGACCGAAGATATACTGTAGATATAATTTCAATATTTGGTATTTACTGTTAAACTCAAGTGGGATGCGACTGGCAGCTGACGCCTTGCCCTTCACGTGCTACCCGTGTCCTGCATGAGCACTGTCCGCACTACCTGTCTTGTGACGAACATATGGTTCATACTGACGAACAATCACAGTCTTCACAGCGATCCTTCGTAGCCTAGTGGATAAAACTGCCAAGCTAGAAAGTGAAGGGTTGCGGGTTCGAAACCAGGTATCGGCACTCTGTATTGGAAGTTTTCAATAATGTGATGTTTTACGATCGTATTCAGTGATAGCAAGACAAAGTTATATGTATCTTTGAAACAAGTAATAATTCAAAGACAAGGGCTATTCCTCTGAAAATCCCTGGGATGCTGGCAATTCTGCAGAAGATCCACGGGATTTCATGGAGAATACCCCTCAGTAAAATGAGAACGTGGCGAGACAATAGAGTGACGTCACTGGAGGTTTATAAATCTCAGTTCACTGTTACACCTCTAGTGACAGTGTCAAGGTTATATGCCCCAAACCTTTGTTTTGTGTTTATAGGAAAGCATACAGGTTGGTAGGTTGAAAGAACAATTTACAAAATTTCAAATATGCTTATATATGTATATACTGCAATATGCAGGTTTTTAGTTATGGTATTTAAAACTATGTGCTTGTGTGTACTTGTGCATGTGTGTATATGATGCGACAAAGTATATGGGGAACTTAATCATTGTCTCATCACGTGTTTCCCCAGCTCAAGACCTGAGACAGATCAAGGCACAGCGGATACTTATGAACAGTCCCAAGTAAGTAAAACAAAGGACATCATTGGCTGGACTGTACCTTACTCCAGGGAGTCGATCAAGTCATATACTGACATCATGTCTATCTCGTACGGGTGGATATTGACGTCTATCTCCTCCATCAGCAGTAAACCAGCTGGGTCAATTGATGCAAACAGTGAATAGGTGTTTTATTGTGAGCTGATGGAAGACAATAATTGATTGTATTGATTGTTTTACCTGTGTTTTACCTGTGTTTTACCTGTGTCCTACCTGTTTTGCAGTGGCACGGGGCACATCAAGTGTATGGTCACATTGAAAGGAGATTCTATATTTGAAGCAGTGAGTATCTGTAAATATGATGTATAGTACCCCCTGGATATGTTATATATAGTACCCTGAGGATATGTTATAAATAGTACCCATCTGGATATGTTATATGTAGTACCCTGAGGATATGTTATATATAGTACCCATCTGGATATGTTATATATAGTACCCTGAGGATATGTTATATATAGTACCCATCTGGATATGTTATATGTAGTACCCTGAGGATATGTTATATATAGTACCCATCTGGATATGTTATATATAGTACCCCGAGGATATGTTATATATAGTACCCATCTGGATATGTTATATATAGTACCCTGGGAAAATGTTATATATAGTACCCATCTGGATATGTTGTATATAGTACCCACATGGGAATGTTATATATAATACCCCCTGGATATGTTATATATAGTACCCCGGGGTATGTTATATATAGTACCCTGAGGATATGTTATATATAGTACCCTGAGGATATGTTATCAATAGTACCCATCTGGATATGTTATATATAGTAATAATAATAATAATGTCTATTTATATTACGCTGGGTTCCATCCACAAAGGTGCATGCTCAAGGCGCTACAATAGTCACAGATGAGAAGTTCACGGGAGGAGATAGTTCATGGGGATAGAACTTTCTAAAGAGAAAGGTTTTTAGGTTGGTTTTGAATGTCTCAAGGGTGGGGGATTCTTTAATGTTCTGAGGTAGTGGGTTCCATAACTGAGGTGCTGCTACTTGAAACGATCTGTTGCCGTAGGATTTTAGTCTTGAGTTTGGTACTGCAAGTAGGCATTGGTTTTCAGATCTTAGGCGTCGTGAAGGCTGGTATGGTGAGATCAGTTCTGATAGATAACTTCGGTGCTGTACCATTCAAACAGTGGTAGGCAAAACACAAGATCTTGAAGTGGATCCGGGCTTCTATTGGTAGCCAGTGTAGGGACATCAATACCGGTGTTATGTGGCATCTTTTTGGTGCACGACTCACAATACGAGCTGCCCTATTTTGTACCTTCTGGAGTTTGTTCAGCAGATCCTGACTCAAACCATACAACAGACTGTTGCTGTAGTCAATGCGGGACATCACAAGTTGTTGGACTAGTGTTTTTGTTACGTCCTTGGTAATAAGATGGCGGATATTACCAATACTTCTTAGATGGAAGTAGCAGGTCTGGCACACTTGATTAACTTGGGCTTCCATTGACAAGGGAGAATCAAAGATGACACCCAGGTTCTTTGCTTTGTCGGCGAATGGTATGAAAGAGTCTCCCACAGCCACTGACGTGATAGTACCCATCTGGATATGTTATATATAATACCCCCTGGATATGTTATATATAGTACCCTGAGGATATGTTATATATAGTACCCCTAGATATGTTATTTATAGTACCCATCTGGATATGTTATATATAATACCCCTGGATATGTTATATATAGTACCCATCTGGATATGTTATATATAGTACCGATCTGGATATGTTATATATAGTACCTGAGGATATGTTATATATAGTACCCATATGGATAGGTTATATATAATACCCATCTGGATATGTTATATATAGTACCCTGAGGATATGGTTTATATAGTACCCATTTGGATATGTTATATATAGTACCCTGGGAATATGTTATATATAGTACCCATCTGGATATGTTGTATATAGTACCCATATGGGAATGTTATATATAATACCTCCTTGGATATGTTATATATAGTACCCCCTGGGTATGTTATATATAGTACCCTGAGGATATGTTATTTCTAGTACCCTGAGGATATGTTATTTATAGTACCCTGAGGATATGTTATATATAGTACCCCTGGATATGTTGTATATAGTACCCCTAGATATGTTATATATAGTACCCATCTGGATATGTTATATATAATACCCATCTGGATATGTTATATATAGTACCCTGGAAATATGTTATATATAGTACCCTGAGGATATGTTATCAATAGTACCCATCTGGATATGTTATATATAGTAATAATAATAATAATGTCTATTTATATTGCGCTGGGTTCCATCCACAAAGGTGCATGCTCAAGGCGCTACAATAGTCACAGATGAGAAGTTCACGGGAGGAGATAGTTCATGGGGATAGAACTTTCTAAAGAGAAAGGTTTTTAGGTTGGTTTTGAATGTCTCAAGGGTGGGGGATTCTTTAATGTTCTGAGGTAGTGGGTTCCATAACTGAGGTGCTGCTACTTGAAACGATCTGTTGCCGTAGGATTTTAGTCTTGAGTTTGGTACTGCAAGTAGGCATTGGTTTTCAGATCTTAGACGTCGTGGAAGGCTGGTATGGTGAGATCAGTTCTGATAGATAACTCGGTGCTGTACCATTCAAACAGTGGTAGGCAAAACACAAGATCTTGAAGTGGATCCGGCTTCTATTGGTAGCCAGTGTAGGGACATCAATACCGGTGTTATGTGGCATCTTTTGGTGCACGACTCTACAATACGAGCTGCCCTATTTTGTACCTTCTGGAGTTTGTTCAGCAGATCCTGACTCAAACCATACAACAGACTGTTGCTGTAGTCAATGCGGGACATCACAAGTTGTTGGACTAGTGTTTTTGTTACGTCCTTGGTAATAAGATGGCGGATATTACCAATACTTCTTAGATGGAAGTAGCAGGTCTGGCACACTTGATTAACTTGGGCTTCCATTGACAAGGGAGAATCAAAGATGACACCCAGGTTCTTTGCTTTGTCGGCGAATGGTATGAAAGAGTCTCCCACAGCCACTGACGTGATAGTACCCATCTGGATATGTTATATATAATAACCCCTGGATATGTTATATATAGTACCCTGAGGATATGTTATATATAGTACCCCTAGATATGTTATTTATAGTACCCATCTGGATATGTTATATATAATACCCCTGGATATGTTATATATAGTACCCATCTGGATATGTTATATATAGTACCGATCTGGATATGTTATATATAGTACCTGAGGATATGTTATATATAGTACCCATATGGATAGGTTATATATAATACCCATCTGGATATGTTATATATAGTACCCATGAGGGATATGGTTTATATAGTACCCATTTGGATATGTTATATATAGTACCCCTGAATATGTTATATATAGTACCCATCTGGATATGTTGTATATAGTACCCATATGGGAATGTTATATATAATACCTCCTTGGATATGTTATATATAGTACCCCTGGGTATGTTATATATAGTACCCTGAGGATATGTTATTTCTAGTACCCTGAGGATATGTTATTTATAGTACCCTGAGGATATGTTATATATAGTACCCCTGGATATGTTGTATATAGTACCCCTAGATATGTTATATATAGTACCCATCTGGATATGTTATATATAATACCCATCTGGATATGTTATATATAGTACCCTGGAAATATGTTATATATAGTACCCATATGGGAATGTTATATATAATACCCCCTGGATATGTTATATATAGTACCCTGAGGATATGTTACATATAGTACCCTGAGGATATGTTATATATTGTACCCCTGGATATGTGATATATAGTACCCCCTAGATATGTTATATATAGTACCCATCTGGATATGTTATATATAATACCCCCGGATATGTTATATGTAGCACCCATCTGGATATGTTATATATAGTACCCTGAGGATATGTTATATTTAGTACCTGAGGATATGTTATATATAGTACCCATCTGGATATGTTGTATAAAGTACCCATATGGGAATGTTATATATAATACCCCCTGGATATGTTGTATATAGTACCCCTGGGTATGTTATGAATAGTACCCATCTGGATATGTTATATATAGTACCCCCTAGATATGTTATATGTAGTACCCCTGGATATGTTATATATAGTACCCCTAGATATGTTATATATAGTACCCATCTGGATATGTTATATATAGTACCCGAGGATATGTTATATATAGTACCCATCTGGACATGTTATATATAGGACCCGGAGGATATGTTATATATAGTACCCATCTGGATATGTTATATATAGTACCCATCTGGATATGTTATATATAGTACCCATCAGGATATGTTATATATAGTACCCATCAGGATATGTTATATATAGTACCCATCTGGATATGTTATATATAGTACCTGAGGATATGTTATATATAGTACCCTGAGGATATGTTATATATAGTACCCTGAGGACATGTTATATATAGTACCCCTGGATATGTTATATATAATACCCATCAGAATATGTAATACATAGTACCCACCTGTGTATGTTGTATATAGTACCCCCTTGGTATGTTGTATATAGTACCCCCTGGGTATGTTTATATAGTACCCCCTGTGTATGTTATATATAGTACCCCCGGGTATGTTTTATCTATATTACCCGGAGATACCCACTGTACTGGTAGATGGTTACTGATGCACCTTACCAGGACATCAACTAAACATGTTCTACAGGACCATCCTGGAGGACTTCAAACATAAACAGGGTAGAGCTAGGGTAGATGGGGGTATGGGTAGAGCACCACATCTACAAGACCAGCATCCTGGGTTAGAGGGGTATGGGTAGAGCTAGGGGAGATGGAAGTAGGGTACAACTGGGGTAGATGGTGGTATGGGTGGGAGAGCTGGGGTAGATGGTGGTATGGGTGAAAGCTACTAGGGTAGATGGTGGTATGGGTAGTAGAGCTAGGGTATGGGTAGATGGGGGATGGGGGTATGGGTAGAGCTAGGGTAGATGGTGGTATGGGTAGAGCTAGGATAGATGGGTGGTATGGGTAAAGCTAGGGTATGGGGGTATAGGAGTGAGATGGGTAGAGCTAGGGTAGATGGTGGTATGGGTAGAGCTAGGGTAGATGGGGGTATGGGTAGAGCTGGGGGTATGGGTAGAGGCTAGGGTAGATGGTGGTATGGGTGGTAGAGCTAGGGGTGAGGGAAAGATGATGGAGATGGGTAGAGCTGGGGTAGATGGTGGTATGGGTAGAGCTAGGGTAGATGGTGGTATGGGTAGAGCTAGGGTAGATGGGGGTATGGGTAGAGCTAGGGTAGATGGTGGTATGGGTAGAGCTAGGGTAGATGGGGGTATGGGTATGGGTAGATGAGAGAAGCTAGGGTAGATGGTGGTATGGGTGAGAGCTAGGGTGATGGGGGTATGGGTAGAGCTAGGGTGATGGGGTATGGGTAGAGCTGGGAGGAGTGGTGGTATGGGTAGAGGTAGATGGTAGATGGGGGTATGGGTAGGCTAAGATGGGGGTATGGGTAGAGCTAGGGTAGATGGGATATGGGTAGAGCTGGGGAGATGGGGGTTATGGTAGCTGGGGAGGAAGGGGTATGGGTAGACCTAGGAGAGGAAGGGGTATTTATAGAGCTGGGGAGAGGAAGGGGTATGGGTAGACCTAGGGGAGAGGAAGGGGTGTATGGTAGAGCTGGGGGAGAGGAAGGGTATGGGTAAAGCTGGGGTAGATGGCTGTTTGGGTAGAGCTAGGGGAGAGGAAGGGGTGTGGATGGGAATACAAGTAAAGCCATGATGTGACTTTTGATTGATCGATCTATGATGAATGAGGGAGTTTAGTTTTACGCCGCACTCAGCAATTTTCCAGCAATATGGCGCTGGTGTGTAAGTGATCAAGTCTGGACCAGAAAATCCAGTGATCAACAACATGAGTATCATTCTATGCAGCTGGGATACGATGACATGTGTCAACTCAGTCAGCTTGCCTGACCACCTGATCTTACGACAAGCGTGGGTTGCTGAAGACCATAACTTACCCAGATCTTCACGGGTTTGTGATGTTACAGATTCAGGATGCTGGGAACCACCTATGCAGGGCAATGATGACACTGAACAGTCACGATGGCAGCTACAAGTTCAAGTCAGGGACGGAGGTTATACTGGTAAGTTGAAGTAGCTGTTAGTGTTTGAGATATGGTGGGTTTTGGTGTAGATCTTGTGTTGGTGTAGATGTTGGTGTAGGGGTTTGTGTAGATGTTGGCATAGATGTTGGCGAAGATGTTGCAGTAGACATTGGAGTTAAAGAAAACGTTGATTTCACTGTATGTACAGTAAGTCTGGATGACAGAGGTTCCAGTATATGTAGAGTGAGTTCACTGGGTGAATGTTATCATCTTGTCAACAGCTGCTCGATGACATCATGAAGAGCTTGCTGAAGGGCCGAGGAAGTCTTACATTGCCAAAACGGAAATCATTACAAGAGCTTGTCAATAACAGAAATATGGTAAGCTTATTCCACTGGTAGGTTGAACTGCATCATACCACCAGACATGGTCCCGTTGGCCATTTTCTTCATTCTGGAGCACCAGTGTGATTGGTGATATACCTTAACACAGTGTCTGACCCTTGATATGATGCGTGTCACAACATCTTACCTTCGATATGACTCATATCAGAATGTGTGACCCTTGATATGTGTGTGACAACATCTTACCTTCGATATGATGCATATCAGAATGTGTGACCCTTGATATGTGTGTGACAACATCTTACCTTCGACATGACGCATATCAGAATGTGTGACCCTTGATATGTGTGTGACAACATGTTACCTTCGACATGACGCATATCAGAATGTGTGACCCTTAATATGTGTGTGACAACATGTTACCTTCGACATGACGCATATCAGAATGTGTGATCCTTGATATGATATAAGTCACAACATCTTACCTTCGATATCATGTTGTCTCCCCCTTGATATAATGAATATCACGATATCTGACCTTCAGTATGATGTATATCACAACGTTTGATAGAGTTTATATGCTGTTGTCAAGCTGTGCATGGTCACATACATGATATCACAATGTATGGTACAATGGCTAATCCTGCGATGACACAAGATCTATGTTTTGTATTTCCAGCATGTTTTGTACCCTCCTGTGCCAAGTGACATCGCCCTCTCCTTCTACATCCATGCATCCAAGTTGATCCTGGCGCTCTACCATGTTCACATCACCGGCCAGAAGATCGAAGTCACAGCCCGCTACCAGCTGAGCAACAACATCCGTCACCAGCGGTACACTGAGGTCAGACTGAAGCCAGATGAAGGCCAGACTGAGGTCAGACTAAGACCAGAGGCCAGACTTAGGCCAGAATGAGGCCAGACTGAGACCAGACGAAGGCCAGACTGAGGCCAGAATGAGGCCAGAATGAGGCCAGATGACGGCCAGACTGAGGCCAGAATGAGGCCAGAATGAGGCCAGACTGAGGCCAGACTGAGGCCAAACGAAGGCCAGATGATGAAGGCCAGATGATGAAGGCCAGACTGAGACCAGACGAAGACCAGACTGAGGCCAGATGACAGCCAGACTGAGGCCAGATGACGGCCAGACTGAGGCCAGAATGAGGCCATACTGAGGCCAGACTGAGGCCAGAATGAGGTCAGACTGAGGCCAGATGACGACCAGACTGAGGCCAGAATGAGGCCAAACGAAGGCCAGATGATGAAGGCCAGATGATGAAGACCAGAATGAGGCCAGAATGAGGCCAGACTGAGGCCAGAATGAGGCCAGACAGGCCAGAATGAGGCCAGACTGAGGCCAGACTGAGGCCCAATGAGGTCCAATGAGGTCAGACTGAGGCCAGAATGAGGTCAGATGACGGCCAGAATGAGGCCAGACTGAGGCCAGACTGAGGTCAGAATGAGGCCAGAATGAGGCCAGAATGAGGCCAGAATGAGGTCAGACTGAGGCCAGAATGAGGCCAGAATGAGGCCAGACTGAGGCCAGAATGAGGCCAGAATGAGGTCAGACTGAGGCCAGATGACGACCAGACTGAGGCCAGAATGAGGCCAGACGATGGCCAAACGAAGGCCAGATGATGAAGGCCAGATGATGAAGACCAGAATGAGGCCAGAATGAGGCCAGACTGAGGCCAGAATGAGGCCAGACAGGCCAGAATGAGGCCAGACTGAGGCCAGACTGAGGCCCAATGAGGTCCAATGAGGTCAGACTGAGGCCAGAATGAGGTCAGATGACGGCCTGAATGAGGCCAGAATGAGGCCAGAATGAGGTCAGAATGAGGCCAGAATGAGGCCAGACTGAGGCCAGAATGAGGCCAGACAGGCCAGAATGAGGCCAGACTGAGGCCCAATGAGGTCCAATGAGGTCAGACTGAGGCCAGAATGAGGTCAGATGACGGCCAGAATGAGGCCAGACTGAGGCCAGACTGAGGTCAGAATGAGGCCAGAATGAGGCCAGAATGGGGCCAGAATGAGGTCAGACTGAGGCCAGAATGAGGCCAGAATGAGGCCAGACTTAGGCCAGAATGAGGCCAGACTGAGACCAGACGAAGGCCAGACTGAGGCCAGAATGAGGCCAGAATGAGGCCAGATGACGGCCAGACTGAGGCCAGAATGAGGCCAGAATGAGGCCAGACTGAGGCCAGACTGAGGCCAAACGAAGGCCAGATGATGAAGGCCAGATGATGAAGGCCAGACTGAGACCAGACGAAGACCAGACTGAGGCCAGATGACAGCCAGACTGAGGCCAGATGACGGCCAGACTGAGGCCAGAATGAGGCCATACTGAGGCCAGACTGAGGCCAGAATGAGGTCAGACTGAGGCCAGATGACGACCAGACTGAGGCCAGAATGAGGCCAAACGAAGGCCAGATGATGAAGGCCAGATGATGAAGACCAGAATGAGGCCAGAATGAGGCCAGACTGAGGCCAGAATGAGGCCAGACAGGCCAGAATGAGGCCAGACTGAGGCCCAATGAGGTCCAATGAGGTCAGACTGAGGCCAGAATGAGGTCAGATGACGGCCAGAATGAGGCCAGACTGAGGCCAGACTGAGGTCAGAATGAGGCCAGAATGAGGCCAGAATGGGGCCAGAATGAGGTCAGACTGAGGCCAGAATGAGGCCAGAATGAGGCCAGACTGAGGCCAGAATGAGGCCATACTGAGGCCAGAATGAGGCCAGAATGAGGTCAGACTGAGGCCAGATGACGACCAGACTGAGGCCAGAATGAGGCCAGACGATGGCCAAACGAAGGCCAGATGATGAAGGCCAGATGATGAAGACCAGAATGAGGCCAGAATGAGGCCAGACTGAGGCCAGAATGAGGCCAGACAGGCCAGAATGAGGCCAGAATGAGGCCAGACTGAGGCCCAATGAGGTCCAATGAGGTCAGACTGAGGCCAGAATGAGGTCAGATGACGGCCAGAATGAGGCCAGAATGAGGTCAGAATGAGGCCAGAATGGGGCCAGAATGAGGTCAGACTGAGGTCAAACTGAGGCCAGAATGAGGCCAGATGAGGCCAGAATGAGGCCAGAATGAGGCCAGACTGAGGCCAGTATGAGGCCAGAATGAGGCCAGACTGAGGCCAGAATGAGGCCAGACTGAGGCCAGAATGAGGTCAGACTGAGGCCAGACGACGGCCAGATGATGAGGCCAGACATCTGTTTAAACTTGTTTACACATACATTACATTGGATATATTAATGATATCATGTTTATTTTATCCCCTGTGCAGGTGGAAACTGTTGTACAGTGGCTCAATGATGCCATCATGCTCTTCACACTGGCTCTGCAGCAGTGTCAGCAACTCAAGGACAAGGTAAGGAGCTTGATAATGTGTCAGAATCCTATTCCACCAGACATAAGAACAGCTATTTTCAATATCTCTTTCAATATGCAGATTTTCAATTTGGGAGGAAAATAAATCATAAGTGACATTGGCACTGAACTAGCGGGATCTGTGGGCATGCACCCTATAAAATTTGCAAATATTACAATGAATTTGGTACATTTTCCTGCAATCTTAGATGAAAATGACACTTCCAAATTCACCTTGATTGACATTTTATCAGCATGTTCTTCAAGAGATGATGTCCCTTTCAATCCATATTTTATCAATTTGTCACACATGATACATAGTTTGTCAGTCTAAGTAAACTTAAGCTAACAAAACCAAGTAGAAGGTCGCGTCAGCTAACCTTTGAGCGACCTATGACTTTCCAATCAAACGCAAGATGGCCAAACGGATTTATCCAATCAGACAACAACTACATGTTAGGGTTCGGCAGGACTCTCAAAACGGTTTTTGGATTTTCTCTTCCCTGGTCGCTGACACTGATCTATCAACAAATGAAAATCCGCATAAAACACAGATACTTGACCTGCAGTATATAAACTTATGGGTTTCTAATGACATGGGCACTATTTGCTTATATTTCCGCAAGATGACATCTTTGAATATTGACAAAAACGCTATTTTCAGCAACTGTTTACTCATTGCATGTATCACTCAGAAGCAATCGTGCGGAAAATAGTATTTGGAATCGTTCGAGTTTTTTAGGTAAAGGTTCAAAAGCTTGTTTGAGTGGCATTTTAGAAGTTGAGACGTACAGTATGGAACAAGTTTTTATGGATAACAACTTCTTTATTTTGTGAGTGCGACGTTTCAATACAGATTCTTGTACCGTTGTCAAGCAAGAGTGATACTCTTGCTTGACAACGGTACAAGAATCTGTATCGAAACTCTTGCTTGACAACGGTACAAGAATCTGTATCGAAACGTCGCACTCACGAAATAAAGAAGTTGTTATTCATAAAAACTTGTTCCATAAGGTTCAAAAGGTATGTGCGAATGTTAGCTTTTGCGATTTGGTAAGCTGCATTCTGATTGGTCAGTCCAAAAGGTTAGCTGACGCGACCTTCTACTAGGATTTGTTAGTGTAAGGAATAATACTGAGCCTAAGTTTACTTAGACTGCATAGTTTGTCAACTTTCCGAACGAACTAGTCAATTGTACCCTCATGGTTTCAATACGTTATTTTAACTGATCTCTCCAGGCAGTTCCATTAAAGCTTTTTCTTCACTGACTGGTCAGTTTCTTTAGTTGTTCATTCGAATCATGTCGCTCAATAATTCTCACCATTTTTCCTGCGGGCATCGCTGATACTACGTTCTTTACTATATGGCTATCATTTACATAGCTTAATCGTATTACCCAGCTCACACCTCATATGTCAGTCCATATCAAGACCTCACCCCTCTAATAATTTTAATGTAGATTCATGCTTATCTAAAAAAATACCCTGACTGATATGTAAATCCCGGAAATCGACGATTTCGGTGGAAAATACTCATGCCTGATTCCACACGAACAGTGTTCAGTTGTTTCCATGACAGCTGTTGTTTTGGGAACAATAGGGGAGATATGGATTGTCCTTTGAGAAATACCAAGAAAATGCTGGAAAAACATGAATCGAGAACGCTAGTTGTCCAAGGAATCCCCCACAGTGTTGAATGAGGGGTTCCTTGGTTCCAAAGAGCATTTCTTTCATAATATTGTTTCAATGTTCGGTTAGAACAAGCACCATCTTTTTGTTGTCTTTGGGTGTGCCATCACAAGGAATCGAACCCTTAACATTCCTCTCAGAGGAACAGATGCTCTAGGAACTAGACCATTATGATAGTCTGAAACTATCGAAACATTAGTTAGAAACGTTAACTAGAATATAAATATACAGTGTATTCAGGTGTTTGGAACTAAATGTGCAGTTCTTAACTTTCACATGTTTAAACCACATCTGGGGACAGTGGGGTAGTCTAGTGGTTAAAGTGTTCCCTCACCACACAGAAGACCCCGGGTTTGATTCCCCACATTCCTCCAATGTGTGAAGCTTAGTTCTGGTGTCCCCCTCTGTGATATTGCTGCAGTATAGTTGACCTGTCCGTGTGTTTCAGCTGACCGTGCTACTCCAGTACAAGGGAATATCGTAAGTGACGAGATCCTAGCAGCCTGACCACCGGACATCACAGACGATGTCCTTGCAGCTGTCTCATAGACACACTGTGTTTTAAAACGATATCACCTTAGAGAGATATCCATTGCTGAGACAGGAACAGCGGTGGATAACAGATAAATATGTCATAAAAAATGATATCATCTCGCTAAAGTATGAATACTGTGAGATAAGTAATGTTATCAATAGAGTGATATGTCACTTAACACAGATATCAAGAGGACTGACAAGAAAAGTGTTATCAACAGGATAAGTATGTGATAACAGAATGATATCACTTTACTGATATGTTATACACAGTGTGACATCAATAGATATAGTGACATAGTGATATGATGGAAGTGATATCACCTTGCACAATCATAATGAATACTGACATGTTAGGGTCGTCGTCAGAATACTTTTGTTTAGAAACATCACAATATAACAGACACATAAAATCTGTTCAGGCTACCTATTCACCTTACCATGAATTCCACATTTCCTCTATAAGATACCTGGATCTCCTGTGATGTCATGCAAGAAGTTGATAGATATTATACAATTATAGACTCTTGTAGAGGTCGATTTCGGTGTTTATTGACCTGAGTAAAACAATATCGACCGAGCTTGCGAGAGAAACGGGTTTTAACATAAACTTTTAATGCAAACACTGTGCCATCTATCCGAGTGATCTGATTGGCTGAAAAGCGGGGGAAGCCCCTTCGTACGGGATTCCTTGTCTATTTTTAGTAACCCAAGTCAATATCGTAATTTATCAGAAAACTCAAGTCAATATCGTGTTTTGTAGTCAATCATGTGACTGTCTTTTGACCAATCGTGGTACAGGAAAAATACTACCTCTTTAATAATATATTTTCAGGCTGGTGCCTGTTCTGTTTAATGGTGGTACAGGAGAACTACCTGACCAAATACAAGTTGTCTAGTGATACGAAGGGTAATAGGTTTCTCTTATACATCGCCATATTGGAGACTTCTGGGGTAACAGGGCTGTATTTGTGAGTGTAGGACCAGGGTGCCATTGTACAAAGCAATCTTAGTGCTAAGGTGACTGTAACTCCCATACCTTAACATAGACTTAAGGTAATCAGCAGCACTATGGTGACCGTAACTCCCATACCTTAACATAGACTTAAGGTAATCACTAAGCCGTAACTCCCATACCTAAGGTGACCTAAGGTGACCGTCTCCCATACCTTAACATAGACTTAAGGTAATCGTAGCACTAAGGTGACCGTAACTCCCATACCTTAACATAGACTTAAGGTAATCGTAGCACTAAGGTGACCGTAACTCCCATACCTTAACATAGACTTAAGGTAATCGTAGCACTAAGGTGACCGTAACTCCCATACCTTAACATAGACTTAAGGTAATCGTAGCACTAAGGTGACCGTAACTCCCATACCTTAACATAGACTTAAGGTAATCGTAGCACTAAGGTGACCACTAAGGTGAGCGTAACTCCCATACCTTAACATAGACTTAAGGTAATCGTAGCACTAAGGTGACCGTAACTCCCATACCTTAACATAGACTTAAGGTAATCTTAGCTCTAAGGTTGTTTTGTCCAATAGCACCCTGGCATCAACTTGAGTCCAGTGTGTATTGGATGTCTGTCTTCTTATAGAGGAAATACTGTACCGTAGTTAGAGTAATAAGTGCATCACCTCAGCAAGTCATTAAGTTTTTGGATCCCTGGAAAATCAATTGCAAGATGCGTGAAAACATTGTGGGGATTGTTTTCTTTTTTGTGAAATATCTATTTTGATCAAATGCAAGAAAAATGTCTACAAATGATCAGTGATTTTTTTCCTACTTTAAATGATAACTTGTGGAAATAATATTGATGACACTACCGTATACTTTCTTATGTACCTGAGTATATATTTCAATGAGGAGCTACATGGCATCAAGGAGAAAGTCGCAACTTTCAGGGATGTAATAGTTGATATTCTACTGTGGTACTGTGTTGAACTCTGCATGCTTTTATAATTCCAATATTGTAAATAGTCACTATCTAGATGTGCCATAGTACAAGATGCACACAGACCACTATTGGACGATCAACCACCCAACAGAGTATTACTGCATGTTACGAGGTCGCTGACTGTACAGACCACTGGATCTGTAAACGTAATGTAGCTGAATGGGTCGTTGTCGGCACAGGTACGACAGATATGTACTATATCTACTGATTGCGAGTCAGGTATTGTGCACCGCGAAATATTTGTTACTGTGTATGGTAATTTCTTACATAACAATCAAATACATTAATACAATACTATGAAAGTTCCGATCAAGAAAACAACACAGTGCGGAATGGCATCGTCCTACGGTACATCTCTGTATTCTGGTTTTGGCTAGGATACGTTTCTGTATACAGAAACATACCTGGGGTACACATCTGTAGTATCCGTGACAACAACGACCCCTTCAGCCGTACTGTGTATTATAGCAGTGCGGTCGCTGACTGTGTGCAGAGAGATGTAACTGCTGTATGTCGGAGGTTCTTGTCAGCCCGCACTCAGCAATATTCCACCTATATGGCGGTGGTTTGATACAAATTCACATGTTGTGTATTAAGGACAACTTGGGAAGATTTCTAATGAAATCTGTGAAAACCATCCTTGAACAGGTATGTTACTGACATTGTGGAAAATGCCAGGCTTGCAAGAGACCATGCAGAGGAATGGCCTGTTGCTGTTTGATTAAAGGGACTTAACTCTGGGGATTACCTCCCTTGCTCAGAAGACACCGAGCTGGTTTCCAGATCAAGTGAGATATATATGTACACAGTTAACTGACGGAGGTTGAAATGATGAATTCTCCAGCTCTAAGTGATGCAATAAGCTACTTGTTAGTAGTGTATGAAGTTGGTTCATGCCAGGGTGAACTGGCTGTCCATAGATGAGCATCGAAATGTTTTGAAAGGCAAGATGAACTTAAACAGTACATTAACTTGTTATGTCACTATGAATTCCCTCAGTGCATGCTTATGATCATGATGATTGGTGTACCAAGAACCTAATAGAATTGTACATAATTGCGACATGTAAGAGCACAGAGGAATCGTGGAATCTTCAATGAAATTTCAGCATTCCCTATTCTTTAAGTGACTGAGGTTTGAGAAATATATGTGTGAAAGGTCTTTTAACAATCACATTTTCCCTTGAAGATGGGAGAGTGTACATACTGTTTTATGCAAGGTCTATTAATAGCCATGTGATTAAAGATCTGTCATTAGTTTGGGAAGCAGCAATTTTTAAGTCATAAATGTAAAAAAGAACCCTGACAGTTTATTTTCACGCCCCTTCCAATCTTGCAAAATCCCCCATGTATTTTGATCAAATGGAAATTGCACAAATATAAATATTCATTTTAGTGGTTGTTCATTTGTTTTATTGTACTGAATTCACCCCAAGAACTTGCATTGTCTTTTGGTGACAGACCTTATTTTCTCCACTCAGAACTGCCCATTATTGTTTATTTTCCAGATACAAAAATCAGATGTGTAGCTCTGATTCCTGTGGGTTGCAAACAAAATAAATAAGCCACATTATGTGAATGCACTGTAGAGTTTCTCAGCAATGTATCAAAGTTCGGTACAAAAGATCTGATGTTGATATCTCCGAAGATTGAGTTTGGTGTTGTCTCATTATAGTCTGACAATGAATGTCTGTTCTACGGTGAGTGTTTGGAATGATGGCTATGTAATATATCTCTGTATAAATGTAGAAGTTTTCCTCACTCAGTATTGACAATACAGTTCCACATCAATGCTTTCCGACCTCGTACCTGTCCATATGGATTAGACTTTAGACTTATAATATTTATTTTAGACATAGTTGTATCATTATTTGTTAAAAAACAATGTTAAACATGGCTGAAATACTGTTTATGCAATGTTATATATTATGTTTGAGTGAAATGGCTCCAATATGGCCATGGACAATTTGTTTCTCGTCATGCTATACCTATGAAACATGCTGTCAGCAATTTTTCAGGATGAGCAATATTTTTTGTTTTTTGTTTCGTAATGGTCTTTCAATGGTCATTCAAATTTATGATTGTCTGAATTTTGACAAGAAATTATCTACCCTTCACTAAACTCTCCGTAGTTGCTAAGCATTTTTTATATACTTTCTTCTTGCTGAGAAACGTTGTAAAAATATAAAGCAGTAAATGGGTCAATATAAAGCGTATTTTAACTGGGTCAATATTAAGAAATAGCTTTTGTGTGTATTTTCATGGCCATGTTGTGACTTGCAGTCAATAAGAGTGCAGAGACATGGACCACCAAAAGTTGGGTTACCTGTAACAGCATGTCGGGATTCATGACTTGTTCCATGGTCGTGTTGGAGACTGGAAATCCATTTGGTTGGTGAGTCAGTAATCAAGCATACAATAATATGGATAACTACTTCTTGTTATTACAAAAAGTGATGTTTCGTGTAGGTTCTTACACCGGTTTCAGCTTTAAGTGTAGGAAATGGTGTAAGAAACGTCACTCTATGTAATATACAAGAAGCTGTTATCCAGGAAGTCGTATGCTTTATTACGGAAATCCATTGTTTGTGCCGGTTGGAACCATGATGACTGTGTACGTCTTGCAGCTGATATTTGTATATAGACACGCAGCCTTGACCGATTCTGTCTCATGGTGACTCTCACTCACTTGGTCCCAGATAGCAATCAGACGTTGGCCCAACGTTGGGAATGGCCCAACGCCAGAATGCTATCTCGGGTACAGGTGCACTGAAGTGCTGATGCAGCAGATTTGAAGGAGTGGGTGTATTTTATGATATACGTTGCACATAGAATCCACTGAACTGTTTGCATTTCATTGTTATGTTTGTTGAATACATATCACACGATGAGGAGATGGTGTAACTGATTTCTTGTAGACCTTATCCACCTGTAAAAAATTACATGTTTATACACGAATCCTTAAAAAGGTGTGTGTTCGCTTCTGAGTTTTAAGTCCCGATCATGTTCATTTGTGTCATAACATCCCAGAAGGGAGGTGAACATTATATTGCTGAAACGACAACACAGTAGATGACACTGGACATACAGAAGGAAGTAGTGTTATTTTTTTAATTTTCTGATGAGTTCATCTCTAAACTGGTTGATGCCAAGATCCACTTGATTTATTCCCCGCATGTCCTAGAATCCATGGCTGTCAGGTACAGAGTGTGAAGGTGTACAGATGTAGTACAGTTCTGTCACCGACATCACTTCAGGCAGTTTCCATGGTAACCTGACACAATGTGCCTGTTTACAACTGTTTACTACCTTCTCAGAAATACAGGTAGACATGTCCAGCCGAGTGAACTGATGGTTGAATCAAACCTGATGCATCTAGCGCATGGTCCCTGTCTCCAGAACCACTCTCCAACATATGTCCAGTGTATGAAATAAGGCCTGTCTGAATGCCCGAGACGGGCAGGATTTCTGAAATTTACAGCTAGCCAGCCCGATGGTCTGGTACAAATTTTAGATAACATGTCCATACATCTGAGAAAGTTCAAAATATCTTTCAAATATTTTCAAATTGAGCATTACATTT